TACAATAGAAGCTCACCTGAATTAAGAAGACTTGTTGGGTCTCATAGAAAATTTGGTTAAGAATTTGATTCATAAACTAGAAATATGAATATATAAGAACAGTCTTAGCATGAAAATATACTTTTTGTAGTAGTGGTAACATTATAACATCAAAGAGCCATGATGAGGATGAGCCATGCAGGCCCTTGAAAATGAGGAAAAAGCATGATACCATAATTATCCAGTAGACAAACTTCAGAAACACAGCAAATTCAGAGTGAAGATTAGATTGAAAGCAAGTCCAAGAACGCTGAGTTATGGGAATGCATCCAGCCAATTTTCATTTTGCCCTATTCTTGCAGAGCAATAGCTTAACAATTACAGCTAGTGAATAATAGTATTGGTAGTGCCAGATTAAATTAAACTGTTTGTTGGATTTTTGTTGTGTTCTTTTTTTTCTCTTGGGATCACCACAGTCCCTGAACAGAACTTGGCTTCTCTCCATTTGGCAAAAGGCAGGAGTTGTTTATTTAGGAATACAACAGTTTACTTAGGGCAGGCAGATAGTCCCATTCCAGTTGCTAACAACGGGAAACATCTACTTCTGTGGAGTGACTCCATTCAAGTGCCTGCAAGTGTCTTGTGGTCTATTATGTAGGTGATTTGGGAGAAAACTTTGTTAAATAGAGTTTCAGATTTGTCGAAGAATTGACTCTCTAAATTAATTTTTCCTCACCCATTAGTTTACTTCTCAGTGTTGTAGTTTGCACAAGGATCACACTAAATGTTCCACGTGCTTTTAATCCCTTTTAAATAAAATTGGACTCTGCTTTAGTTCTGCACCTACAGCTGATGCTTCCATAGTAATTGGAGGAGAAATATCCTACAAGTTGCTGTCATTTTGCCTTTTTAGTTACAAAATGTGCACTGCAAGTTTATTTGTTCTTATCTTATAAATCATTTAAATGTAAATAAAAATGAAACAGAGAATAAATTTCATCTGGAATTCATAAAAGAGAACTCTGCACCTACATAATCTGCAGCATCTCCAGTTTAGGGAGAACTTAATCCGGTTAGTTTCAAAATAAATTATATGTCCATTGCACATTTTTTCTTACTGTAGAATGACAAAGTAAATACTTGTAAAATTCAGACCTTTAAATACTGGAATTATAGAGACTAACACTGCAAGTACAAAGCCTTTAATTTGGGAACGAGGCAACACTGTGTGTAAATTGTACTTTAGTTTTTTTGTTTCTAAAGTCTTGGATTCAAATCATGGGTTGAACCCAAGAGAAAATGAGTCTGATGGTTTCAATTCCATCTTAAATCTCTTCAAGCCTTATTACAAAACCACGGAATAATCCTACACAGTCAGCAGCCTCCTAGACATTGAACAAGACTGACATGGTAGTTGGGGGCAATGCCAGTGAGGGATCATCTCCTGTGGAGCTTCTTTTGCTCTTGGAAATTTGGTTGAGTGCTCATTGAGGTTTTTCTCCCCTCAGCAGACCATCAGGTAAAAAAAAACAGCAGTAAAAGCAGCAACAGTTAGTGACTGCTTGGAAATTAAAAGAAAAACATGGGAACTAAGTGTGAACTGAGGGTGATGGTTGTGCAGACAAGGGAAATGTGGCAGGTGGGGAGAATGAGACCACAAGCAGAGGATCCATGGCCCTGGCTGGGGCAGCATGGCTCGTGGAGCTCATCCACATCTGCTTCTCCTGTGGGCACGTGGCCAGGGTCCCAAATGGGGCAAAAACATAGAAGAAAATTATGGCCCTCCCTCAGAATTTCTTTAAAAGCCATACCTGTGTTTCGAGCAACTTTCTTATTCTCCTTAAATGTCATTACCTTTCGGAGTCATGAGCTTCTATTACTGGTTTAATGGGTGTTTAGAATAACAGGAGGAGTTAAACCCCAGCCTGACCTTCTCTTCTGCTCTGCTGCTTCACATAAGAGTCAAAGCTCACATGAGCAGAGTGTGATTTGAGCCATACGTTGTGTGGTTTGTAACACATAAAATATACATAAAATACATATTCATGGATACTGTAGAGCTGTGTATAGAAGCATAAACATGGCTTTATAGAACTAATGAAATTAATTATGATTTTGAGCTTTCGTAAAGGGTTGATCATACACCACTGTATACAAAATTGCTTATTCACCCCTTTGCCAAGCTGCCCTTTATTCATCCTGACAACCTAAATGAAAACTCCATCAGAGGTACCTCAGTAAATATTCTACTAGCCAGCAGAAGGCCATATAAACATTAAATGACAATGGGGTTGTATCTGGTTTGTGTTTATTTTAATAGATGGCTTTCATCAGGCAAGATTTTGCTAATTACATACCCACTATCAAATATATACTTACATGTACTTACTTAGAACCTGAGAAAAAAGTAAAACTTACAAAGGATTTGCCAAAGCTTGCATGCAATTGCAATAACTAGCTCAGTAGGATCTATTTGTCTATTTGTTTCCTGAGATGAAAGGTTACATGTAAAATTGAATTAAGTTTTAGCCTGAATATTCCTTTTTAGTGTATTTATTTGACTGCCTGCAGATCATAGGAGTTTTGTGGCAGATTGATTGACAGATAAAGGATACTTCACTTCTGTTCAGCAAATGAAATAAATTCTGAAAGGCAACAAGCACAATAAACAAATTATCCTTAAAATTCTAATGTTAGCACTAACTGTGGGTGTGAAGGGTAAAAATCAGTGAACAAAAGTATTTCTCAATCACTTATAAATAACTCCATAGCACAAATGCTATTTTTCAAAGAGAAGTAAGATATGAAACTGTGTCATTAGTTCCTGCTATTTATAATATATTTGATGTGTAAATTATTCTGCCTTTTCAGTGGCTTATATGGTGTACAGTGTTTATGCTGTATTAACAGAGCAAGAAGGTTTGTGGCAAAATCTATTTAATTTCTGTGATAAATTATCAACACTTCAGGACCTTTCTATTGCTTTGACCTTTCAGTGGAAGAAAAACACTTTAACAGCAATTTGTTTATTTTAGCTGTTGAAACAGTCTTTACATTTTTACAGTGTGTTATATCTTTAACTGTAATTTAGGCTGTGTTAATAAACATAGAGCTGTTGTCATTCAAGCATAGACCAGAATATTTCTATACAAAAATCAGACTTGAAGTACTCAGATTTTTTTCTAACTGTGTGTAGGCACCTCTAGAAATGAAGTCACCAATTACACTCCTCAGTATAAATTAATTGCTAAGTTATTGGTAATTATACTTCAAAATTATCAATAAAATTATTTCAATTATATCTCTTTCTTGCATTGATAGATGAAGGGTTACAGAATATGACAAAATTTGTTATTTTGTACTTTGCTCCTAAAATCTGTAGATTTTACAGACAAAGATGTGCTGAGCAGTTCTTATTTCTTGCTGCATCTTTCTCTTCGTTAAAAATCTAATTATTCCCTTATGTGACACTACCATGACCTTTTTAAGTGCAGAAGAGGTGATTGTCATATTTTCCCTTGGTGCATTAGGAAGGGGTTCAGAGACAAGAGGGCACTGCACAGACGATACTGAAAAGGTCAATGCAATTTGGCATTATTGTATCTCTTTTTTAGATGTTGAAGTGTGATAAGAATGCCGAATTATTCTAATTAATAGCTTCTTATTTCAGCTTTCACTTTTAAGGAGAGCAAAATTCCACACACCCCCTCCAAAAAAACACCAAATCAAAACGAAAATAGTTTGAGATAATTATTACTTTTATCAGTATTTGTTGTAATATGAGCAATCCAATAAAATGCTAAGTGCTCAGTTTTCATTAAGGCCATTTGATGTTTGGATTGAAGCTCCTACTGCCTGTTTCAGCCCTGCAGATTTGGCAGACTTACCATTTTGTCAGACATACAAGAAGGCAAAGTAGGATGGGAGGAAGAAGAAGATGATCTGTATTCTAACCTTCATGTGCTCCTCACAGCAGCCTCTTCTAGGCCAGTACTCTTGGAGAGTCGTGGTGGTCAGGGCATGTGGGGGAGACCCAGAGCTTCACTGGATGCTGCCGAGGCAGTATGTGCAGAAAGGCAATAGGAAAACAGACACACTGGGTTTGGGAGCAGCCTCAGGATCCCTGGGACTGCTGTATCACAAGGATTAGTTGCATCTCCAGCTATTTGTTATAATACTTGAATTAAATAAGGCAAATATAGCCTTTTCACTCGTACACTTCAGCCCCAAGGTTTACTGTATGGCAATACATAGTAATTTTACATACTTCTGGCAAAAATTCAGGCATGGAGATACGACGTGTTTCACAGCCCAAAATTCTTATGCTTACAAAATCCCCATAGCAATATTTGGTACAGAATCATAGACTCAACCAGGTTGGAAGAAACCTCAAAGATCAAGTCCAACCCTACTGTGGTCACTAGATCATGGCACTAAGTGCCACATCCAGTCTCATCCTGAAAACCTCCAGGGATGGTGAATCCACCACCTCCCTGGGCAGCACATTCCAATGCCTGAGCACTCTCTCTGGAAAAAATCTCTTCCTAATATCCAACCTAACCCTCCCCTGGCAGAGCTTGAGTCTGTGCCCTCTTGTCCTGCTGCTGGTTGCCTGGGAGAAGAGACCAACCCCCTCCTGACCCCAACCTCCTGTCAGGGAGTTGTAGAGGGTGATAAGGTCTCCCCCGCTGATGTTACTTGTACACATGGTTGTGTGTGCACCAGACATAATGGCAATATTTTGAAACAGAAATAAACACCCAGAGTTATGGCAGATGACTTTTCAATGCAAACACAGCTTTACCATGGTCTGCAGTGGGTTTGTAGGGAAGCAGGTACACAATCATGGTTGGGGGCAGGCCAAGAAAGATAGAAGATGACCATCCATTTTTTTATTGAGTTTCAGGCATCACTGAGTCCTTAGATAAATTACAGCTCACTCTGAGATCTGGTGGTGTGTGAACAGGCAACTTTACAAACCCAACATAACGTCACCTTCCATGTGTTCCTTCTGCCCACAGCATAGCTGCCAGTCGGATGGGAACTCCATCTACTTCCACGGGACCGAAGGCAGCGAGTTCAATTTTGCCACGACCCGCGATGTGGACCTCTCCATGGAGGATGCCCAGGAGCAGTGGGCAGAACAGTTTGAGAGCCAACCTAAAGGGTGAGTGTCCCCTGCCTGTGCAGGGTCCCACACAGGTTTGCAGCATCCAGGGATGAGGACACTGGAGAGTCAAAGAATGGCATTTTGTCTTTGATGTGTGGTCAGGGAAGATTGTGGCTAGGATAAATAGGAATTCTATGGATTTTAGGCAGGGAAAAAATCCAGAAAGCCCGGAAGAAACAGTCTGTCTCCAGACCATCCTGTCATCCAAATTTTTAATGAAAGAAGTCATACTTGTGAATTATGTAGCTGTTCTAAAGAAATTGTTGTCAACCAATTTTTTATCATTCACACCTGAGTGTTGTTTAACAATCTCATATCCATATGAAGTCAAATTCCTTGAGATAGTCATCCCTTCTGGATCACTGCTGTGAGCTTTGCTTTGCCATGAGAGAGCTCCTGCTTGTGCAGGATCCTGCAGGTGCTGGAGGAGGAGGAGGTGGAAGCAGGACAGCTGAAGCAGCAGTCTGTTCTCCTCCAGCAGCACCAAGAGCCTAGCCATGCCTGCTGGGCAATAGCTGAGGATCTTGCTAACATTTGCTGGTTTTATTTTGAATATAAGTACACTGTGATTCAAAGGGTCCCTGTAAAGCCATAGCAAGCAGAGATTGTTGCAATGGCACAGAAAGTAAAGAAACTATCTAGGACAGTGAAATCACAACTCTTACTAAACTTGAGTGAGCTTTAAAAAAATGTGTCCTGGTAAAGAAGTATCATTTTATCTACCTTAGTGTATAAACCAAAAGAAAATAATCAGCAACAGAGTATTGATTTTTTTATTAAAAAAATAACATTAAAAAATCATCAGTTGCTGTAACCCCAGGGCAATGAGAAACATACACTGTTAATTTATAGGTCTCCACTGAATTTTGATTTTAACCTACAGAGTACTTCAAATCATTAGCAGCTGATTCTAATGCTGCCTATGCTGTGCTGAAGGTAAAGAGCACCTTCTGAGAAATACATGCTAATGTGTCCTGTGGACATGTGGTTTATTGGGGACTTACAGAAAAAAAATTCACTGTGAATTCTGCCCCAGTTCAAATAATCAGTCTGTGGCAGCAGGTGCTGCTTCAGACAAAGGGAAGAAAGTGAGCATGTGTGTGGAGTGTGTTAGGTGACCATGTGGGATACCTTTGAGATGTGCTCTCAGTCTTTTCCATCTCAAAAAAAATCAGGATGGGAGTAGAGCCTATGGACATCTGTCCTGTCTGTAGATCTTCTCTCTGCTGGATCAGGTGTTTAGTTAAGTTGGGCCATTTGCAACTCTGGTTAGCAAAAGCACAAATTCTTCTGAATTAGGAATATTGCACTTTCTCTATCATGCAGTGCCTAGGTCCAGTCACAGGTGCCACTGCTCCCAGCCAGGAGCAAGGTGATTCAGATTTGATGCTAGGAGAAATGTTTTCCCTGTTAGGATGTTCAGGCACTGGAATAGGTTGCCCAGGGAGGTGGTGGAGTCACCATCCCTGGAAGTGTTTAAGAGGCATCTAGATCTGATGCTGGAGGATCTGGTTTAGGATTTAGGGGTTTCTGCAGAGTGGCAGGTTAGTGGTCGGACCTGATGATCTTAGAGATCTCCTCCAACCTTTATGATCTAAGGTAGGGCATAGCCAGCAGATGTATTTGACTCTCTCATCCTATGTCCCAGTAACCAGGTCCTGATCTGCCTCCCACCCCACCATCCCAAGGCGTCACAATTTTTTCCATTTGTTTATCTTTTTTTTCCAAATTTTATTCTATATCAGAAAGTTCCTTCTTTCATTGTTCTTTAAGGATGGAGATTTAAATTCCCTGCTGCCATGAATGACCACTGAACTCAGGTGATGTTATGGATTACATCCCAATCGTATGAAATTGCCACTGTCCCTCTTCCCAGTATTTCCCTGGTGTTTGCTTTGGGAGCTGTATATAAATGCAAATATATGAGTTTCCTTAATCCCTTCTTAGAGAAATATTTTTGAATACTATTGGAACTGTATTTGAAGTACAGTTTTACTGTGTTCAGTCACAGAGCACTGTATACCTGAGACTGAGCTTGCAGGAACTTCTCAGGCTCCACTTCATCACGTCAGCTCTTAAAGGAAAGGTATCCCTCACAAGGAAAAACAGAAGAAAACTCAGGTGTAGGGGTCACTACCACCTTGGAGGTGAGGACAGAGGAGCTTATTGCTGTTTTTAATAAGCAGTTGATTGGTATTTTTAGCACGTTCCACCTAAAGCTAGAGGCTATATGGATAGGGTTTGCTGTTGGAAGTACCACACATCTTGCCACTGTCATTCTGCTTCTCTTTAATTGCATACATTAGCAACTGATCCTCAAAGTGGACAGATCTCCACATCAGACTGCCTCTGCCTCTAGCAGATGTATTGTTGCATTGGACCTCTGTGCCCTGTTGGTCTAGTTTAGATCCATATGTACTTCTAGCACCTGTGTTGTAAAGAAGAATTTCAAGAGTCATGTGAGGGGTAAATTAACTAATATGTCAATGTTAAATCATGCCATGACGCAGGATCCTTCTCCATTTGTCCCTTTTGACAGTATGTTGATGTATTTCTATTAAAGTGCCTTTTTTTAAAGATGTAGAATTCTGTGGTTTTCATTCCTGATGCTGCCAATAAAGGAGAGGATCCCTGGAAACATCCCTTATCTGCATCATTCATGACCCCGAGTTGTTTTGTGGGTCACTACAGAGAGTGTTTTAATTGAGCTAAATAGAGCATACCAAAGATCAATGGAGCATTGTGAGATTTTGTTGTGTAAGTTAAAGTAGACACAACTGTTTAATTCTGTACTTTCCTTCAGCCCAGGAGACCCATTTCCAAAATTGTGGTTTGATTATATTGCACATTACCTTTAAAAAAATCTGCACAACAGAATTAGGGTTAGATTAAACTGCGCTTCCATTAAAATATTTATATTTATATCATGAAGCTTTTCAGTGAGGCTAAGCTTGCTAATTCCTGTGCAAATGACTGACAGTTTCAAAGCAGGATTTATGAGCAGGCATGGCACTGGTCTGTCACAGCTTAGGTCAAGAGGGAAACTGGCAGCTTTTAAGAAGATCCTAGAAGTTCATTTTGAAGCAGTTGGAATGGTTAAACTAATAAATAGAGTGGTTAGTTCTTGAAATGACAGTTTTTGAGACTGTCATATGGCACATCACTGGTAGAGATTCTTTCTGCTGCAAGGAGACAGGAAAAGGCTCTGCCTTCCCACAAAGTCTTCTGAACTTCCACATTCTCTCATTCCTCCTGCACCATGCTGGCTAGTTAAACAGCTGGATTATCAGGATTTAGTAAGTCTGAACAATTTCATTGTTTTATCAGCCTCATAATTCTTAACTCCTTTATGAATTAATTAAGACTTCGCCGTGAACAATAATAACGTGTCAGACCAAAATAATGCACAAGTTTTCAGCGGTTTCTCATGTTTGAAGTAACAAACACTTTCATGATGAAAATGTATTTTCAATATAGAATATTTAATTGGAAAGCTCTGCGACAGTGCTTTTAATTATCGCTGAATAAAAACAAGATAAAATGTTGTGCAGAAAAGCTGAGAAAGATCGTATCATCACATATTAGAAACACAGCCCTCTTTCCTCATACTCTGTTCATGTGTGAGCTAAAAACTGTTGCCCTACATGCCCAAAGAGATGAAAAGAGAGCATTTTCAGCTATTACCTACATATTTAATGACTGTAGAGCTGATAGGGTGGACATGTGCCTTTTCAAGTTTCATTGATCTGTAAACCTTATATAATGCAAAATGAAGCAGAATACAATTATGTTTTAAACACTTTAATGCCAGAAAAAATAATGATAGAACAATGCAGCACTACATATTTGGTAATAGCATTCATTAAAAGCCTCAGTTTTTTAGTAATTCCTGCTTTTCTGCCAATTTCTTTAAAATATTTGCATCAGCTTTGCTTTAGTTGAGTCAACTGAATTTAAAAGCTAATATAAAATATGTAAGTAATGTCATGGGAATCACATTTGAAACACTGCATATTTTTTCGGATGTAAGACTAGAAACAGCTGCTTTTGTATGTACAAATGAACCCCCAGAACATGTTTTGTGTGAGTTTACCAATAATGTCCATCTATTGTTGACCTCTGCAGGTGGGACATATTTGGAGCTGTCATTGGTACTGAGTGTGGGACACTGGAATCTGGCTCAGCTATGGTGTTTCTCAGAGATGGAGAAAGAAAAATATGTACTCCATACATGGACACTACAGGTTATGGGAACTTGAGATTTTATTTCAGTATGGGTGAGTATAAATTCCTACTGCAGTACAAGATGTGAAGCATGTGAGAATTAAACTGTGCTGTGTACATAGAGCTGTTTTAAATACTCCATCAGAGGGGATAGCTCTGATTTGTGACTGTGATGCCCATGAGGATGTAAGACTGATCACTGTTATTCAGATGAGAGTCAACCCTTCTGTATACCCATACAGGTGGACAAACATCATGGGCACATAAATAGGCCTCCCAAAACTATTCCCCCAGATGACACTGACTTGCAGATGAAAACCCTTCTGAACTAGACAAGGCACTCTGGGTTTAGTAGCCCTTGGTGGGTTTTATTCCCATGGTTTTATCCAGCCACATTTTTGTGGCTGAGATAAACATTTAGCTCCAGGTTAAGACAGTTTAATATACAAGTTACATGAAGATGTGTGCATGTAGGATCAGTGTCTAAATTTCCTTTATAGTTAGAGGAGATGTAGTCAGTGCCACTGCTGGAAAAACCCATGAGACAGCTGAGCTGGACCAGCTGAGCAGCTCCCTGCTCTCCACTGACTGCAGATCTCCACTGCTCTAAAGGGACTGGTGTACACACAGGTGTGGGTTCTCTCTTGTTCAGTCCTCAGGCAGGATTTGTTACACAACTATGGGTTATTGCTGCCACTTGAGTTGCCAAGCATATCTGAGACATCAGCATAAGGCTGGCAGATGCAACCCATGATTTGGGGGAGAGTCAGAGCCCCTCTATAGGGGCAGGTAAGTGAGCTCTCCACGGTGTATAAAATGATTCTTGGTACTAGTGTTTAACCAACTGAACCTGCCTATTGTGCTCACAGCTCCATAGTTTAACAGTTCTCATGTGAGAAGCATCTCCTTGTCCTGGTTATTCTAATTTCATTCAGTGCCCCTTAATCCACCAGTAGAAGAGATAGTCATATTTTTGTCATCCTCTCAGTGCCCCTTAATCCATCAGTGGAAGAGATAGTCATATTTTTGTCATCCTTACCACACTGTAGAGGTTTTATAGGTACCTGTCATATCCTCCCACAGTCATAGCCATGTAGATCCTGGTGTTAATCCATCAGAGTCGAGAGAGTTGCACCCGAGGATGAGATAGAAGTAGCACATATGTGGGACAGCCTTACCTGGTTGAACCCATGGATAGTTTCTGCTCAAAAGTTCTTACTCTATTCATAAACAATTCCTCTTCTAATGTATTGACCCAGGGTGAGATTCATACACTGTGTGCTACAGTCTTGAAGGAGGTATGACCTACATGTGGCATTCTTCATGAAAAGCTCTGATATGGTGTTAGCACCATCTGTGGACTTTTCCTGTTGGGGCAAAGTGCAACCTCAGTCATTTACCAGGGCTAAGAAAGCAGCCAAGAACAGATCTTTCCTGTTGGTTCCCCTCCCTGTTATTGTTGATGGTGCAACTGTGCTTGTTTGGTGTTGTAACAGACCAAAATCCCCAGGAATGTGGTGGTTAACACAGTGTTTTTCCAGAACTTCTATTTTGCACACAAAGGAAATTGCATGAGGTTATTCTCTCAACACCTTGTTTAGAGGAGGTGAGGATTTTTGCCTAAATGTAGAGAATAATAGAATAATAAAGGAGGAAGCAGAGAATCAACTTGTGACCTCCACAAACAGCCTTCTGTATCAACAAGAAAAAACACACCTCATTTAATGAGGGGAAGACCTCATGATGTTGTCCTAAATTCTTGTACATCTCCTGTGTGTTGCATGAACTACTAATAAAGCACAGGAAAAAAGAGGATGCTTTTTCCTAGTTCTTCCAAGCACTACAACACCTGCAAGTGAAACAGGAAAGAAATTTTGTCAACCTCCTGAACTTAGGGGAGGAGTTGTCAGCAGATGCAGGCACAGAGGATAGTGGGATATTGTTTGAAAAACATATTCTGTGTGTACTTTAAAATTAAATAAATAATAGCTTCAACATTCAGGCAAGGAGAGGATTTGAATGGACACATGGATGTTCCTTATTACAGTATAAAACACACCAAAGATGCACATCTTATCAGTTCTCTGGACTTCTTTGCCTAGTCTGTTTCAAAAACTGGCTGTCTGTAGTGAAAAAGAAAGCAGCCAAAGTGTTTCAATATACACAACCTTTCTGCTTTGCAGACTTTTCAAAGAAACTTCCTCATCCTGGTTTGTTTTTTTTATACCTGCAGTTGCCATAGTGTACAGGGAAATTATGTTTCCTGTTTCAAATACAAAAACTTTGTTATAAATCCTTCTTTTCCAGAACACCAAACTAGTGTGATGATGTCCATCTGCTGCCCCATGCAGCACATTTTGTGTGGTACTATAGACTCCATTCATCCATCCTTTTTAGGATATTCTCCCTTCTGGGATTGATTCTCTCCTGCTATGTTGATTCTCCCCCTCTGCTCTTGACTCTCCCCCTCTACTTTGCTCTTGTGAGACCCCACCTGGAATACTGCACACAGTTCTGCTGTCCTCAATGTAAGAAGGACATGGAACTGTTGGAGCAAGTCCAGAGGAGGCCACAAAGCTGATCAGAGGACT